GGAGTCTCTCTTTGTCACCCAGGTTGGAGTGCAGTGGTGTGATCTGGGCTCACTGCAGCCTCTGCCTCCCGGGTTGAAGTGATTCTCCTGCCTCAGCTTCCCAAGTAGCTGGAATTACAGGTGCCTGCCACCATGCCCAGCTAATTTTTGTATTTTTAATAGAGACGGGGTTTCACCATGTTGGGCAGACTGGTCTCGAACTCCTGACGTCAGGTGATCTGCTCATCTTGGCCTTGCAAAGTGCCAGGATTACAGGTGTGAGCCACCGTGCCTGGCCTATAAACAAACATTTAGAATTAGGAAACTATTGTTACATTGAAGACATCTCATCTGTTTTATATATTTATTTTAATTAAAAATTTTTTTTATTTTTGCATTCTTTTTTTTTTTAGCTACTGCAAATCATCATCTCATCTGTTTTTAAAAAATAGAGTGAAATAATGCCTTCTATAAATGATATACATTAGTTTGGTTGGCTTTGTATTTTATTTGTATAATATCATACTTGTGGGAGGAACCTTACATACAAAAGGCCTCATTTTCAGTATTGAGTATAAACAGAACATAGTGTATTGTCACTGTTTGCTTTTTATTTATATTTGGCCAGTTAGTTATTGCCAGTTATTCTCACTTCACTGTTCCATTCATCTGACCTCAGCAGTGTAAAAATTAGCTTCGAAAATTGATAGCATTCAAAGATTCTTATCTTTCTATGTAGGGTCCCCATGGCTGGCCTGAGATTGACTTTGCCATTCTGTATTTTAAGACATAGATTTATTCATAAAAAATAGCCATTTGTGGTGGCATGTACCTGTAGTTCCAGCTACGCAGGAGGCTGAGGTGGGAGGATCACTTGAGCCTGGGAGGTCAAGGCTGCAGTCAGCCATGATCATGCCATTGCACTCCAGCCTGGGTGACAGAGTAAGACCCTGTCTCAAAACAAAAAACAAAAAACAAGAAAACACACAAACCAGAAAAGAAAACACACATGTAAACAGAACTGCAGACTAAATCTTGTGCATTATGAAATCTCACTTATTCTGTTTAATTGTCAGATCTTATTTAAATGTTAACATGCACTGTAAATTGTGTTCATTTTTGAAATTGCTTTCCTTGTGTTCTTTAGAAGATGTTCCAATGTGAAAGGGGATGTTGGGATAATCTTGTCTTAAATTCAGATGTTTGGTAAGATAAGGAACAGCAATGAAACATTTTCTTGGCCTAAAGTATTTGCTCTAATTGTTCTTAATTATTGGTAGGTGAAGGATATTGCTTTAATTATCCTTTTTGCACTAAGTGGAAACTTTTTTTTTTTAAATATTTCTAGGAACCAAATGGCGAGACACCATCATCTTTATACAGAGTTGCAGCTGTACTTCTACAATTTAATCTTATTGATTTAGATGATCTTTATGTACATGTAAGTCTAGTGGGCTGCTAAGAATATTTGGTTGTCTGTCCCAAGGGTGGGGAAGAGGAGTAAGTAGCCACATAGCACCCCCAGGGTTGGGTTGGTTCTAGGTTCTCAAGTTTTACTCTTTGAAGCCCCAATACATTGTTGCTTTGTGTTTACTCTATAAAGTGAGTGAATTTAGTTCTTTTCTTCGGCAGTCTATGAAAATGAAATACCTTTTTGGTCACTTTTATGAAGTTGCAGTTTGGATATGAAGTTCAAGTTCTTAATTGTCATCAAGGCATATCTCGTGGGGAGAGGCCAAGTTCTAACCAATTTGGTTTTAAGCCTCTTTATTATCTACAAATGATGGGAAATATAGGGTTACCTATATACTGTTTCTTTCTCTAAAATATTAATTTTAGGCATTCAGGATGAATGGGGAACTTTGTTAGTGTATTTTTATTTTTAGTATATTTAAAAAATATTTTTCTTGTGTTACTCCTGTGTACTAAATGACTTATGCTTTTACTGCTGTGACAGATGACCTCTAGTTTAATAACAATTTAGCCATCATCTTGAAAATCTAGGCTAATAGTATATAAATTCCTCTTCTATTAGGTTTTGCATTAGGATATCAATTAATTATTTTTTTGAGATGGAGTTTCGCTCTTGTTGCCCAGGCTGGAGTACAATGGAGTGTTCTCTGCTCACTGCAACTTCTGCCTCCCGGATTCAAGTGATTCTCCTGCCTTAGCCTCCTGAGTAGCTGGGATTACAGGCGCCTGCCACCATGCCTGGCTATTTCCTTTTTTTGTATTTTTAGTAGAGGTGGGGTTTTGCCACGTTGGTCAGGCTGGTCTTGAATTCCTGACTTCAAGTGATCTGCCTGCCTTGGCCTCCCAAAGTGCTAGGATTACAGGCATGAACCACCCCACCCGGCTGATATCTGTTAATTTAAAACAAATATGTCCAAAGGTGATATCATCTTCAATGCCTTTGAAATCACTTTATTAACATCATTGCCTATTTTTGTATACTGTGGCTACAGAGTTGAATAAAACTTGGTCTCTGCCTTGGAAACAGTCATAGTCTAGCAAAGGACAAAAACATTTTGCATTATTTAATAGGTACTCTACTGGAGATATTCACAAAGCTCAGAATAGATAGTGACCATATCTGTGGGGGCAGGGCTTTGGAAGACTTTCCCAGACTAGTGATATTGAACTGGAATCTTGATAGACAAGTAGGGTCATCTAGGATGAAAGGGTAGAAAACTTTGTAGGTAGAATGAACTGAGAAAAGGTAGGAGATTTTTTAAAATTTTTATTTATTTATTTATTTATTTATTTATTTATTTATTTATTTATTTATGTGTGTGTGTGTGTGTGTGTCAGCCAGGCTGGAGTGCAGTGGCACAGTCTTGGCTCACTGCAACCTCCCCCTCCTGCGTTCAACCTATTATTTTGTCTCAGTTTCCCGAGTAGCTGGGAGGCGCATGCCACCATGCCTGACTAATTTTTGTATTTTTAGTAGAGGTGGGGTTTCACTGTATTTTTAGTAGACACTGAGTTTCACCATGTTGGCCAGACTGGTCTTGAACTCCTGACCTCAGGTGATCCGCCTGTGTGGCCTCCCAAAGTGCTGGGATTACAGGTGTGAGCCGCTGTGCCTGGTCAAGGTGGGAGATTTGAAAAGGCTTTTTTATCCCTTTATGGGACTGTCAGGAAGCTCAGAGTGGTTGGAGCCTAGGGTGATATATAGGGGGGAATGAGGATGGAATAGATAAGAGCTAAACTGTTAAGGGCTTAAGTGACATAGGAAGGAGTCTGGATTTTTCTCTTGGGAGTGGAGAACCATTTAGTATTTAAAGGAGAGATGTGATATACAAACGGAATATGGAAAATTGGTCAGAAAAGGGAGAATTTGAAAACAGAGGTATGACTTTAGAGGGAAGTATAGATTGGCATATGTGCAAAGTACAAAATTGATGATAGATTTATTGCTGATATGATTGCATTTAACAGTAAATGTAAGCAGACCAAGTGTTCCTGTTAATATGACAAGGATTGTCAGATGGGATTAAAAATTAGTTTATTATTTGATAAACAGCTGAAACCTAAGGATAATGAAATGTTGATAGTAAAAGGATGAGAAAATATATCGGCAAACTTACTATTGTTGGACAAAATAGACTTTTTGGCAAAAGAAGATAAAGAGGGCCACTTCATAATAATGAAGTTGTGTTCACTAGGAAGATAAAACAGTTCTAACTTCACATGTACCTAATGACATGTTCTCAAAATACACAGAAATACAAGTTGAGAGAACCGTGAGAAGAAACGGTTTGCCCATTGGAGTTGTAATCGTCTGGCTAAAAGATAAGGACCTATGGCTGGGTGCGGTGGCTCACACCTGTAATCCTAGCACTTTGGGAGGCTGAGGCAGGCAGATCACCTGAGGTCAGGAGTTCAAGAGTAGCCTGACCAAAACGGTGAAACCCTGTCTCTACTAAAAGTACAAAGTTAGCTGGGCACAGGTGGCACATGCCTGCAATCCCAGCTACTTGGGAGGCTGAGGCGGGAGAATCGCTTGAACCCAGGAGGCAGAGGTTGCAGTGAGCCGAGATCACACCATTGCACTCC